AGCAGTGACGAAATAATAACTATCCAAAAAGACAAAAATAACATTTTATTGAAGAGAACAAAAAGTTAATGAGAGTGGTAAACTCCATGTTTATCCTTGAATATCCACGAATCAATCTTTACAGAGAGGAGGTCGATGGAGCCGTGGCTTTGTATGTTGGGGTGAAAAATGAAATTAACGAATTGTTTTGTTGAAGGAATGATAAGTTAATACAATTGGAAAATTTTTTTTCAAGAAAGGCTGCTCAATATGGCATGTGGTCTTTTTTTCAACAGCTAGGTTGAAATAAGGTGCTCCATTTATGCGACCACCAACTCCATTCCTGTGGCTTTTTGTTTGAATTCTATGAAAACAACTATAGTAGTCTTATCCTTATGGTCAGTGCTGTAGCCTCAATTGTGGCAACTAATAAAATAAGGCTTCCAGCTGCAGGTTTCTAGAAGAGGGAGACTATGGTGGTGGAGGAGATACCGTATCAAAAACTAGAATATTTTAACTTCAAGTTATAGNAAGTATACATATAATTCTCTTCACTATCGATCAGAAAGCCCCATCCACCACCATCATCAGCGACCTCTCAATTCCGACCTCGAAAACTTCATTGGGGCACCTCAAATTCATTGGGGTTGCTACTCCAGAAGCCTCCTGACTACCCATTGTCACACTCTATGGATTTGGAAAACAATGAACCCATCACTACCAATATTTTTATCAGTAAGTCCTCTCAGAATCCATATTTGTGAAGAAAATTAATTTTTTTTAGTTCAATTAACCTTCACCAAATGATTTAGTTTACTTTATTTTTGCCCACCGGCCAACTCAAACATGAATGTTTAAGAGGTACAATTATTAGATGTATCAGTTACGACAAAAAAGTGAGGATCGATTCTAAAATAGGACCCATCCAAACAAACCCATTTGGTGTAACCTCAAAGATTAAGCTAGAAAACCACCCCTTACTTTGAAATAGTTTTCGTACAATACCAAAAAATAATACTATTTTGTACCATAGTCTTGCTTAGATTCATATCCTTATTTCACTTATATATTTATACTTATATAGTAGTTGAGATTCCACGGTAATCAACTATTTCTGTCATGTATAGACAACAACGGCACAATAGAATATCTGAAAAGTAATCCCTACTTATATAAGTCATAGCCACTCTTTTTTGATATTAAAACAGTCTCCTCTTATGAGATAGTATAGATGATAAACAACCCAATGTGTCAAATGTCATGACTTTCTAGTCATCAAAATCAGAGGATATAGCAAAGATAAGAGAGGAAAAAACAATCTCTTCTAAAAAAGATATCAAGAGAGGAAAAAAAGAAGAAACTAATCTCTCTCTTTCTCCCTCTCCTTCAAACATATAAAAGTGAGAATTCTCAATGAGACCTTTTGTTAATTAAAATATATTCATTTTGCTTGTTAATATAGAAAAAACTATTTAAATTTCTTGTTGACATATATTTATTAATTGATAGTATGAACAATTTATGTAATTTTTCTTGGCCTAACCTATCCTAGGCAATATTATATCAATTTTAATTCTGAAAACTTTTTTTTTTTGTGGAAATAACTGTTGTTGTAGGTAAGGCTAATGCTATATAATCAATGGATGCACTTAAAAAATAATTTATATATAAAAAATAAATTTATCCATTCTATAAAATTTAGTACCTCTATTAGAAAACATGTCTTAATATATATATATATATATATATATATATATATATATAGAGAGAGAGAGAGAGAGAGAGAGAGAGAGACAATGTTAATGGTTAGTTTTATTGATCTAGGATATACTATCCACCTTAATGTATGTAATTAGTATTTGTCAATAGAGGATATAGCAGGTGGGTATGCCATCAAAATCTTAATTGCTAAGCAACAAAGCCCTTTCTAATGGATGGTTTACATTGAGCTCTTTGTTGTTTCTTTCGTGAACCGTGATGGATATGGATAAGAAAATTTGCTCTAAATAGACTTATTCTTCCCTCAGAATTCAGATTGTATGTAATTAGTACTTGTCAATAGTGGATATAGTAGGTGGGTATGCCATCAAAATCTTAATTGCCAAGCAACAAAGCTCTTTCTCATGAAAAATGGAGAGTGGAAAATGGGAGGGAGAGATTGATTTTCCACCGTTTGGTTTCAAAGGAAAAATGGGTTGAAAAGAAAATTGGGTGGAAAGACCATCCATCCTGCCCACCAAAAGTAATCCGTCCGATTGCGGGCAGAAAATTGAAGAAAGAATGGGTCATTTTAAATTACAGTGCTCTAATTACTTATTTACCCATGTCAAAATCCTTCACTCTTCAACTCTTTCTCGTGTTCAATTTTACACCACATTCCATTTGGTGAGACATTTGACTTGTCACATGTGACCTATTAAACAACAAGAAGAAAGCCTATCCTACTTATTTTTTCATCTCTCCGACTTTCTCCCCTTCCTATCAAATTGACTATTACTGTTTTTTGTTTGAAATGTGAAGCACATGTGGTTGGACAGTACCCTTTAAGGAAAGTCAATATGGATGACAATAATGGAATATTCTCATGATGCAGGGCTGATGACGTAGTCACAGTAGTTCCATACGACGTCCGATTACTAAATGTTTGACTCAGGAGCACATGGCCGGCAACACTAACAAGTAAGAGGCCCCCTAGGCTTTATTGTATAGCTGTTTTAGCTCTCAGGGTTAGGATTAGATGTTAGGTTTTGGATATTGTGGAACAATGTGACACTACAATAATAACCTAATATCCACGAGTTTATTATAGAGATTAATCTTGGTGCATTCATTCCTTCCGGACGTCTAATGAACAATAAATACATTGTACTATTCTATCTTGTCAATGAACCAAATAATATATCCTTCTAGATGGAGATGGAGGTTGTTTGTTCTAATTATAAGTGTATCTAGGCAAATTCAAAATTGTCTCATTAATTCTTTGAATTTTCTGATTTTGAAACTTCTACAAGGAGAAAAGTAGATCTCAATGGTCAAGTCCAAGAAAGTAGCTTAAATGATTATTTTTTTATTTAAAATTGCCCAAATGATTTTATTTATCTTAGTAATGACAAATTCAATTTTCTTAGGAAGAAATAAGTCAACATACCACCCTGCTCTTTATTGGCTTCCAATACACTATCTAGAAACTAATTAATACAACCTGTTGAATTATCAGTTGAAAAAGGGGAGGGTTAGTTAGGCCACCTGCCTGGTTTGACTAGCATACTATTTAGGAAAAATTATCGATAAGTATTATTTTTTCTCATCATCTAAACTTTTGACACTTTCGAAATGGTCAATTATATTTTTGAACTTCTCTACATACAAAAAAGCTTACATCTTAGGTTAAGTTCATGTTCTCTTTTGGGTCACAGTGAGTTTGTAATGGAGGGGACTTGGTGTAGGCTAGAATTCTTACCAAAGTGTAATGTTTTAGGCTTTTAGATCAAGTTTATGTTTCAACATTAGTGCAGAGACCAATCTCTTTTTGTTGTTCAATGGTTAGAGCCTAGGGGTATTCAAGTCAGTTTACGCGTATTTCAACTAATCTCCTTCTAATTTGGTCAAAAGCTGGCTATCGATCAATATCATTAAAGTTAACACTTCTCCTTCAAAATAGTAGTTACCAAATTATCAATGAGAGCAGTAAAGAAAACAGGAGTCCGAAAAGAGGACAATAGTAAAAAAACGAGGTGGGAGAATAGTCTTGTGGTAAAGGTTTACTCCCAATTACAAATGGTCGAGAATTCTAGCCTCATCCCCCTCTCTCCCCCAAAAAAATTAGAAAAAGCTATAATGAGCATTTAGTCACGATAAGATAACAAGTTGCAGAATAGGGACAAAGAGTTTGTAGAAAAAAAGGGGAGGGTCAGTAAATCACAGAATCATTATTATCACTCTTACGTTCACACATGCAGAGACAGAGACATGCAACCAATGGTATAAGATGCACATGAAGAATGTGAAAAGGAGTAAACAATGGGTAAATCTTGTTAAAAAACTGTAAATAAGGTCTCACCGGTGTTAAACAACTGTAAATCTTTGTCAATCCCTTTTCATGCACATCAAGATTTTACACTCATCATCTAAACTTTTGACATTTTCGAAATGGTCAATTATATTTTTTAACTTCTCTACATAATATACAAAAAATCTTACATCTTAGGTGAAGTTCATGTTCTCTTTTGGGTCACAGTGAGTTTAGGCTTTTAGATCATTTTTATGTTTCAACATTTGTGGATAGACCAATATTTTTCTTTAGTTCAACGGTTAAGTGTGAAAATGATTAAGCAATAGTATCTTCAGATGGAGAGAGTCACATATTGGCACCGTTAGAAGCTTCCATAGCATCCACCAACAGTAAAATATAAATTTTGACCAAACATGTCATCCCTATGTGAGCGACTAATTTTCAATGGAAACAAGAGAATGTCGCGAACCGTTAAATATAAATAATTAAACAATCTAATTAATTTCAAATAAGAATAATCCTATTTTAACACATCAATTCTAATTAACTTGAATTAAGTAATTTTTTTACTGGAATGAATGAATTTCTTGCTGATGAGTGGCTTATAAGCTATGGGTTTTGTTCGGAGAGAAAGAGAGTTATATTACTAGGTTTCTTGTTCATCTGTTGTATAAATGTGTACCCATATCTGATGAGATAAGCAAACATGTTAGGTTACCATCAAAATATTTAATACTATTATTTAAACGAGTCTAGTAAATCACTGACTCATTTATAATTTTAAGTTGTTAGTTAAAGAATAAAACAAGTATTTATATGTTTTAACAGAGTTAGATTATAGTTAATTAATACTTAATATAAACACGAATTAACCAACTTTAACTTATAAATTTCTACTCAGGACTATCACTCCATCTCCATTCGAAACCATTTTTTTTTTTCATTTGCAACAGCACCCATCTATCACTTCATTTTGCTAGATATCCTAACACACCCACAGTCCTCAACGATGTCCCTACGTCGATCATCTTCATCACCCGTAGTACGTTCTCATCCAGAAAACTCGGTTGATCACTTCTCGATAACCATGGAAACACCATCGGATCACCCCAGAACAAGAAACACTGAGATGAAAATTTCAAATCCAGCATATCCGAGGTCAGACTCATCGCCAGAAGAACTGGCCATAGATACTGACAACACGAACCAATCTCAGGATTTGAATCCCATTGTTCGTCTCTTCCGGGATCTAGATTTGAGCAAAATATTGCTCGGTTTGGGCGTGACACTGGCAGCAGCTTTGGTCAAGGCCAAGGATTCTGATTCATCGGTGGTGTCGCCTTTAACAGTTCTGTCACTATGCATAGGGCTCGCGGCATCGTGGAATGGTCTCCTGCTTCGCACTACCTTCCATACAACTTCTATCGTACTCGAACAAATCGGAGCTGTTTGTATTCTCTTTGCGTTTTATGGGGTCGTCGGATCTTTGCTTCCTCCACAGTTTTCTTGGGCTTCGTGGGTATGTTTTGTTCTTTGTCTTTTACCATTTATTTTGGACTACCTTGTTAGATGGGGGCTCCTCCGGTGAATTGAGAGGCTAATAAAGGTGCTTATGGTTGCTGAGAATTTTACTTTAGTATGTATAAAAAAACCGAATCCTATATGTTCTATTATTCAGATAGTTTTTTGTTACAAGTGCGCTGTGTTTAATGTAATTAACATCTTAGAAAAATGCTAAATCTTGGAGCAAGGATTTGATCGGTTTGACGGGACTTTCACCTTTATTATATCGAATACATTAGAAGTTTTCTGATTGTAGTTTTGTTGGGTTCAGATCTCCAGTAGCTAACATGGGTACCAATCCTCATTATTTGGACAATGAAGATTGTTTGGAAGGGTTTGTCTTGATCAGTTCATGGTTTGGAAGGGTTTGTCTTTATTGAACTGTTCAAAATCTACCATACATAGGCCCATGATTCAACTATCAATATACACATACATATATTGAATACATTAAAAGTTTAGTAATTGTAACTTTGTTGAGCTTAGATCTACAGTAGCTAACATGGGTACCAATCCTCATTATTTAGACAATGAAGGCGATTTGGAAGGATTTTTCTTGATTAGTTCATGGTTTAAAAGGGTTTGTCTTGATTGCACTGTTAAAAATCTACCATACATAACCCCATGATTCAACCATCAATGTACACATAAAGGAGCTGAGATCATCCACCATTTAAAAGAGATGGAAATCAGAAAATGTAAAGGACAAATCTGGTAAGACTACTGGATAGTTTGTTCTAAGTCAACCTGGGGTCTATTTGATACAAAAGACAGATGTTACCCTTTAATCAATTCTCTTTCTACCGTGTTTTTGTATTTTTTTTATGAAAATGCTGTAATTTTAAACTTATTTGTCAAACAACTGTTGTTTTATAAAAGAGTTCCTAAAACACGTTTTTAGTAATTTTTAAGCGTGGTTCATAAACACGCTTTCATAAAAAAACTACGATAATTTGATAATTAAATGTAAAACTATGGTATTTGGTAGAAAAATTTAGAGCTGCTGTTTATCGTTTAAAAAAGGACCTTTGACAATTTCAGTTTAAATGAATATTGTGGAGATTGAACCCCCCAAAATAAAATTGTATGTAAGAGAATAAAAGGTATACTGATATTAGATAACTGTTATATTTCTTGGATACTTGTCCAATTCTGGCAAATGTGATAGAAGTCACAGCTAAGACTATGGTACCAATTTGGTAATGCTGCATTGAAACGTACCACAGAATAAGGGTTTTGGTTTCTACATCATGATCCACTCAATATGGGTAGTGATTGTGACTGACATGGATTTTGAGAATTCTTGGGCATGAAGTTATAAATTCATTTGATGAGTTTACTATTCAATATGATTAATGCTACATGAATTTAAAAATTAGATTTGATAATCTCAACCATTTAATAGATAATAAGTCTCAATAAATGTTGAGACCCATAGTGAAATAAATAATTGTAATTGATGTGAAACCCGCCAAGAATAACGAGAACCAACAACGAAAAGGAACCCAAGAACTAAATCCCTTGAAGTTGTGCTATGATTTGCATCAGTAATTATCAAGTTTAATTTTTAAATATATTTTTTAAGTCTATATATCTTTGCTCGTTCAATTTTAGGTTATTTTTCCATGTCAAAAGATTAAGCTATGGTTAAAAAAGTTGGAATTGATGTTAAGATGTTAGGTTGAGGCTAACACTATAAGTAAACCCCCGGTACCATATATATTATTAGCCCAGAAGTCACACATACCAAACATAGGAAACCACCCCCAGTGTATTAACTCATTCAGCATTCCTTTCAGAGATCATCATACTCATTCAGCATTTCTTTCCAGTCATCTCACTCACATAGGCAATTGCTGCTAACACAATTTGTTGAGCTGTGTATACTGAAAATACAGCACTTTTAGCAGTTACCGTAATAGCTACGGTTCTGGTTCGAGTTTAGCTTGGACGACGGTCTCACATGGGCACTTTTTGGCAAATGCATTAACCATTAACGCATAAATTTGGGAACCGTTCACACACTGATGTACAATTAAGCATCCCGGCACTCCTATGAATGAAAAAAAAATATACAACAAAATTCGTAACATGTCAAAACTGGGTACATCTAGCACTACTCAAACGATTTGCTCCATCATACATTGTAACGCCCCAAAAATCACCATGGAAGGCATTACCTTCTAAAATCATTCATACCATGAGAACAACTAATAAAATACATAAATAACCGGGGGTCCTTAATTTAATAGCATTCGGGCAGAGTCTCCTTTGTTTGGGGAGCTCTACCTAAAACACAACCTGTGCAATTATACTACATTGACCGCACCGGGTCCATTTATCCATAAAATATTTACAACATTATTCAAAAAAAAAAAATAAACCCAAACTAGGGCTATTACATCAAAAGAATTACATTTGAACTTAACAGCGGAATAAACAAAATACTAGACTTTACATGATTGTACATAATCGTTCCTAGTCTAGCACAAAAATAAATGACATCTCTAGATGGCCCACTCGGGATCCAAGTACCCCTCTAATGAAGCTTCTCCATGGCCCGGCTCATTAGCACCGAGCTCCTCCTCTGACCCATAATCTGTAAAATGTTTAACTATAAGGGGTAAGCACGAAGTTCTGCAGAAAAATCCTCTCAAAGTCGAACAAGGTTTAGAAAATAGATAAAAATCGGTCGGTCTCATTTCGTAAATAACAGATGTCAATTTTTAAGGAAAAACAAGACATTTTAAATAGATTCTCAGTTTAAACCGTAACAATAATCAAGTGACAGGATAAAGTAAATTTCACAACAATATACCATTTTCAAATTTAAGCCATTTAGGAATGGCGTTTTCCGATGCATTGTCTCATACCAATGCACTGGCAAGACGATCCAACCCATCATCCCATGTATTTTGATTCATCCCATGTATTTTGATTTATCCCCTTATCCTGTATGTTGATTGCTTCTCATGAATCTACCCAACGATTATACCTAGTCCACCAATCACAATCACGATTACAATCACAAGCACTTTAGGAAAGGACGTCTACTATCTCAATGGCAGTGACGAGTCCCTTCCCAGAAAAAATATATCATCCCTTATTCGAACTTCAGTGAACGATAGTGGTTGCGTTACCAGATGACAACCCACTACAAGTGTTAAGAAACTATCTCACCCCCACTGGGATAGACTAACCTCTAACACTTTATGACATCTCTCAATGGCAAGCCAAGTCCATCACAACCACCATACAAATGAAGAAATCAAAATATTCTCAATTCACCAACAATTTGAAATAAATACAAAATCCATAATTTCTCATTTTTACAAGCATATCTCAAAAATCCCTAAATTTATCATATAACAATTTCAATAATCAATTAAAAAAAAATACAAGAGATCACATCAACATCATTTATTACTCAACACAAACCACTAAAGTTTTAGAAATCAAGAATAAATTAATATTGAGAGAAAAATTCACCTCTCATGAGAAAAAAGATTTTCAAAATAAGAAATAGAGGTTTCATGACAATCCAACCTTAGCCTTGTTTTAAACATGACAATATTTACAAAAATATCAAACATCAAAGATTTACTAACACATATCTAAGATTTAGAGTTAAAAAAAACACACACACACACACACACACACACACACACACACACATATATATATATATATATATATATATATATTTCTAGTCTCAATGAACAAGAGTGAGAGAAACCCCTACCTTAAATCAAAGTTCTAAACCAAAAATCCAAGGTCTAGAGATCTTCTTTCTTCCTTTCCTCCTTTCCTCTATCTTCTCCTAGGGTGCTAAGAGGTTTGGGGTGAGAGTCGAATGAAAGAAATACAAGCAAATGGATTGAAATATGTGTTTTAAACTCAGCAGTTCTGACGGTTTCTGTTCACATGCTGGAATTTGAATTTTCTCTAAAATTACAATTTTGCCATTAAAAATCTTCAATTTGATCTATATGACTACTCTAAGGTTTTCGACGTTTCGGATTCATTTTTGATGTTATTTTAACCTTAAAATATTTATTTTTATGATTTATTTCAAAACTAAAATAAATTTAAACTTAAAATATTAAAATTATTATTTTATTTCTCCCTAGTATTTATTCTTATGGTTTCAATATATATGATTTATGCTTACATCATTATATATATAAGAATCACTAAATAAGTATATTACTATATTAATATAAACATGTGGAGTTTATACCTTCAAAGTTTAAGAAGAAAGTACAACACTTTACTATTCAAGGAACACCACAATACAAATTTTTGATCAACTTCGGAGAATAAACTGATTGACTCAAATATTTCTAGTATGTGTGATCTATATGGTTGGAAAGATATAAGAGTTAGGGTTCTAACAAAAATAACGGTACACAATTTGGACTTTCCAACAAAGAGTTATGATCAAATTGGTGAAAGGTAGTCTGCCGGACTATTTGATTTTTCTATACTTGTCTAACTCGAGTTTGAGTGTCTTTTGTCGCAAATTCTATCTCATACTCATCTCCAATATAGATAGTATGACTTGTATAAAGATCCATGTCTAGCATCATTCATTAACCAAAACTAAATTACTATCTGTCTCGTAGAATCATTTATAACAACATGATGTAGAACTAGTATATCCATCAACATTTTTCTTCAATTCCTCTAACTAGCTAATTGATGAGAATGTAAAATATCATATTTTTTTCTCTTTTAATATTTAGTCTTTTATATTTATTTAGAACTTAAATATATTTATTATTCTTATATTTTGATTTAGGATGTAAATAAAGACGTTAAATGCAAAACAAAACTAATTGAACGATTGTTGATAATTTAGACATGTGAGGGTTTACATACACCCACAACAAGAAAAAAAACATTTACCGGTGTTTAATAAACGCCGATAATATAAATAAACGCTGTAAAATATTATTATTGACGTTTGTTATTAACGCCACCGAAACCTTCGTCAGAAAAATTACCGACATATAATTAAACGCTACAAAAATTAAAGTGACGTTTATTAAGTATTAAAG